CACGAGCTATCAACCACTGAAAGACCTACATGAAGATACATCTATCTCTTCAAGGCATTTGAGACAGAAGAGACATTACATTGTAAGTATGACCGCAGGTCAGTTGTATTGAGTAACTTGACATGTATTTTCCAACAAAATGCCTGGGTCAAGGACTTTGTTCTGTACCTGACACACAGCCAGCCCCATATTCATGCTCTTCTCTAGAAGTGGAACACCTTGAGCCGAGAATCTCTCTGGCGCAACCTCTTCCCATACATGTAGATGACCACGACGGAGGCATCTATGACAAAGACCAATGCAGCAAGGATACAGAAGACGGCAACTAATCCGTTTGCCTGGAGCCAGGGAACAACTGCAAATCCCACGGCAAATGAGACTAAGTTCTTGAATCCATTGAATGTCTGTAGTTACTTCGTCAGCGCGTTGCCGTTCGAATAGATTGGCAATCGGGGGACCACTTACCACGAGGCAGTCAAACAGAACGGGCGTGTAGCTGTCCATCAGGTACGGTTGAATGACCGATCCTATCCCCGTCAAAGCCACCCCCACGAGGCCGACCCCGATGACGGGGACGATCCAGTGCGTGCCGTGCTCGATACCGACTCCGAACATCAAGAGCCCGGCTGGCACGAGGAATGCAGGAAAAACGGTCACGGGTAAACGCATCTCGGGCTCAAAGACGCCGTGGTTGCGTCTCGTGGACCACTGGCTTAGCTTGTCATTCAAGAAGCCACAGAAGATGGAGCCAAAGGCGTTGCCGATACACGAGCTCAGATAGACGAGACCCTGCTGGCCGATAGAGAAGTTGTACGGTGGAGCTCCGAAATAGACGGGGATCATGGTTATCAAGACCACGACACTGTGAGATCATTCGGCGATCAGTATGTTGGACCTTGCCCAAGGTCTACAGTGAGAGGCGAGCACTCACCACGTAACGTGGATAGAGAATGAAAAGACACCCCATAAAACACTGGGATAACACCATGTAGCCCAGGGCCGTAAGAAGGAAGCCACGACATTGACATCCTTCTGCACCGGAGACCAGGGTTTCAGCTCTTGGAGAAAGGTCCTCTTCTCTGGTGCCGGATTCTGCGTCTCGACCATCTCAGTCGTCGTCTCGTCTTCACTCTTGGTCATGGTCATCAGACCGGAAGGAGATGCTTTCTGAGCGTCTAGCTCCATCTCTTCGTTCCCCTCAATGCCAACCGAGTCAAGTGCCTTGTGGAGATCTCGATGGTATTGTGTTTCGGGGACAAAGAGGAAGATCAAGATCAGGTCGACCCCGGCCATGATGCTGGTGAGCCAGTGGAACCAGCGCCAGCCCTTGGCTTGGATAAGGTACCCGCAGATGACAGGTGCTAGAGAGCTGCCCCAGCTGAGCCAGATGGTCTGGACTCCAGCTTGTGTGCCTCTCTCATGCAGATAGAAGAGATCATGGAGGGTATCGACGCTCAACGGCTCGCTGGTGCCAGCTACGCAAGTCCTCAGTCAGCTCGAGTCCCAGAGACATGGAGAAGGGTCTCTGCTGAACTCACCTGCCCATGACGCAAAGAATCTCGCCAGCAGCAGCGAAGGATATGACTTTGCCACGGATGCCCATATATTGCACACGAAGAAGACGACACTGGTGAGCAGCCAAATTGGGCGTTTCCCATAGCGGGTCGAGAAAGGAGCAACCGTGTAGCACCCCATGAACTCCCCAAGGAGACAAGCTGAGATCAACCATGTCACCTGTGTCAGCGTGACATTGAATTCGGCGATGATTTGCCCAAAGCCTGGAGCCAGTCCTGTGATGCAGAAGTTGCACAGGCCGGACAACCACAGCACCGACCAAAAGGCCGTGACACGTTTCGTAAATGGCCAATTCTGAGAAGCGTCAGTAAGTCTAAAATTGGCCAGAACAAGAGTATTATATTTACCAATGGATCATTGGGGTCATTCTGGCTCGGTTGAGGGACGAGCACAATCGATGTCCCCTTCTTGTGCTGCAAGGCTGTGGCCCCTGAAACCCACAAGTCAGCACCGAAAGACTCGGACGCGGCGGTGACAATCACCTGATATCAGTTGAACAGTGCCATGACTGTGTTCAATCTCGTGCAGAGCAAGACGCTTCATCCTTGACAGAAGTTAACCCCGAATATGCTCAACCGTTGTGTGATTTGAAGAACTCGAGGGGCGGTGGACTGAGGGTCACAGGCCACCGAGTTATTTTGTATTCCACTCCTCCACCGAAGTGCTCCTGGCCCCCGAGATACTGGTCTGGGGTACATGGTTCTGGCCTCCGCAAAGTCTCCGCATGAAGTCGAGAACGTGGTAGATTGGTAGTCGTCAATCTACTCGGATGTCCGCCGTCAGGGGTGAGCCCCGGAGTGTCCCATGCCCACGGGGACGGGTTGTGGGATTTCTTACCCCAGCATGCCCAACACAAGAAGTCCGACAGAGAGTGAGAGAGGTCACAGTCAATAGTAAGCTATACGAAATCAAAGACCACAAGTTCGAGTGAAATATTTCCTCGGAGACAAAGTGGCATCGGGTCCGGAGTTGACCACACACGGCTTCCCTTCTCTATAGGCCTGGGCTCAAACAATGACACCCGTATTTTAGACTCATCTTTGACCATATCCCGTCTGGTACTAGACTCAGAAGCAACCGGTCACTTCATCATTTCCTCGAGTCGGTACCACCAGTGGTGGCAAGTATTCGTCCCGGTGGTCTACCTGTCCCGCAACGATTGCCACACAAAGCACACCTGTCGGACCGAACATGAGCAGTTGACCTTGTCGCCACCTGCGAGGTATAGACCAGACTCAAGGTCTCGATGAATTCCAATATTGGGCGGCTGTTTCCAGTTGACAAGATCGAACACGAGAGTTACCACTCCGCGAAGTCCAGAATCTGTTAATCTCTGAAGCACAGCTTCTATAATGATCGGGGTCGACTCCAAGAACGGGTCTGGCGAGACGCCACCAAACCTGACACCACAGCTCGTCAAGACTTTCGACAAAGGCACAGTTGGAGGTGACGAGTATGGCGAATTCACCGGGTTCGGGAAGGATGGGCAGGGCGAGGCAATCTTTGGCCCTGCGAGTTCCGTTCCCTTGAACCGTCGCAAGAAAGTCATCATTGTTGGGGCAGGCATCAACGGAATTCAGCAAGCGACCGTCCTCCTGAAGGATGGCTACGTCAAACATGGCGACATCCAGATCCTGGATGCACTCGACGCCTACGGCGGCGTCTGGCAGAAGAACAAGTACCCTGGCTGTGCATGCGACGTTCCCGCAATGATCTACACGACTTCTTATCACATCAATAAAAGTCAGTTAACCTTCTCTCACTAATCAATCCGGGTCGGGAATGCTAACGGTGTCGCAGATTACACTCACTTCTACGCGGAAAGAGCACAGATCGAGGAGTATTATACCAACTTTGCCCTCCAATATGGTCTTGACAAGTGCACCCAGTTCCAGAGCTTTGTCAGATCCTGCGCGTGGGACGAGGACTTGATGGTGTGGCATGTGGCCGTGTCGAATAAACGGACTGGCCAGACTGAGCATTGGATCGCCGATTTTGTCTGTCAATGCATTGGAAGTCTTGATCGACCGAAATGGGGCAACACTCCTGGCAGAGAGAACTTCAAGGGCATCTCCTGGCACACAGCCCACTGGAGGCACGACGTCGACCTCACTGGCAAGAAGGTGGCCATCATTGGCTGTGGGCCGAGCGCAGCACAACTTCTGCCTGAGATCATCGACAAACCTGAGCATCTGACTGTGTATATGCGGACCCCGCCGGTCTGTGTTGCAAGAGGTGATTTTGCGTACTCAGGGTATGTTCTTCCCTAGTTACCCGCATCATGAACAAGTGCTGAGTGCTCAATAGTCTCTTCCGGTGGGCCCTGAAATGGATACCCCTGTTTGCGTGGGTGGTCAGGACGTACATGAACCTGGAGATGATGCGAGAATGTCGCCCGATGGCCACAGACGGCGACCCCATGAATGACAAGATGACCGAGGAAGCCATCAGGTACATGGAGTCACAGATTTCGGACCCAGAACTGCGGGAGAAGGTCCGGCCTCATTCAAAGTGTAAGTGATATTTGTACCCCTGTGCCGTCTCCGATCGTGCTCAGTAGGTACTAAATCTTTTGAACAGTTTTTTGTAAACGACCGCTCCACCTCGACAAGTTTTATTCCTCTCTAGCCAAAAAGAACTGCACGGTGTTGAGAGAAGATCTTGTCCGGTACACCGAAAAGGGTGTGTTGTCCAGGGACAAGTCGACCGGCAAGGAGACGGAGCGCGAGTACGACATCATCATCTTCGGCACCGGCTTCAACGTCGCCCAATTCCTCGAGCACGAAAAGGTGACGGGTCTGAACGGGCTGGATCTCCAGGTCAAGTGGAAAGAACACCCCGAAGCTCTCTACGGCCTGGCAACCAGCCAATTCCCCAACATGTTCTACTGCTTTGGTCCGAACTCGGCCCACGTCTGGTCCTCGCAGCAGGACAACTGGGAGCGACAAGCGCGGTTCGCGGCCAAGGTCGTCAAGGAGGCGGTCCTGAGGCAGAAGAGAGGCGTCAAGCTGGCGATCCATCCACGGCGAGATTTTGAGCACGAATACAACCTCGAGGTCCAGCGCAGGCAGACGGGGACGTTTGTCTGGGCCCGTCCGGACTGTGTCACGTACTACAAGAACGATGACGGGTGGAATACCTTCACCATGCCCTGGACGTGGTGGCAGTTCCGGCGCATGTTGAGCAAGATTCGTTGGGACCAGTGGGAGGTCATTGAGAAGCCGGTGAGCAAAGTGCAGATTGGGGGGATGTAGCTCCGCAATGCTGTGGCAAAATGGTATCTAGGGACTTAGTACACAAGTATGCAATGATATGTCCGAAGCTCTCTGCCAATAGTTCCAGTAGTTCAAGTCTGTGAAGATACTTTCTTATGGTCAGAGCGGTGTTGTCAAGAGATATCAGAATATATTGTCTCTCGTCCTATTCTACCTTTTTTTGTCTGAGACAAACTCCCTAAAGTGCTCGAGTGTTCGAACAAACGCCTTTTGATACTGTTCCCGAACATCCTTATCCTCAGTATCCGGTCGAGCGGCGAATCCATGGCCCATCCGCGGATAGCTTTCTATCTTGAACGGTACCCCGGGTCTTATCCTACTGCTCCCCCACTCGTGGAGGTCATTTGGCAATGAGGCAGGGACCATATCGTCCTCCTCAGCCAGGCCGATGTAGAGAGGCGCCTGAATGCCGTCCAGGTCCTCGGCCTCCACGAAGCTGGGGTGGAAGGAAGCTGCTGCACGTAATGCATTCTTGCTCAGTCTCAATACGTGTTTACCCCCAAAACAGTACCCTACCCCGACAATAGTAGAGTCAGGGTACTTGTCTCTGAGATGGCTGGTCAAGTTGCCGAGAAGAGCAGAGACCCTTGCATGGTCATGTCGTTGCAGCCAGGCCGGAAAGTCCAGGTCGCGCAGGATCTGCTTTTCTTCTTCAGGCCACGGCTGCTCATCGATTGATAAGGAGCGATCTTGCTTGAGAAACTGGATCGGTAACGGGTCGCCTGGCCGTGCATGAGAGCCATGATGAGTGAAGCTGGGGGGGAAATGATGGGCTCACCTTCGAAATAGTCTGGAATCACCACACGCCATCCTTCTTTGGCGAACTTATCTGCTAGGATGAGATTGTGCTTGGCCAGGCCGAATCCATCAGGCAATAGCAGCAATAGTCCTTGGGTGCCTGGTGAGTCCGGCTCGTTGCCACTTACGTAGCAGTCGACGACGCCCAAGGCGACATATTGTCCGAGAGGGACGTAGGATTCTATACATAAGCGAGTGTCAATCACCGTGACATGTTACAACCAATAGACACGGCCATGGGGAGTGAGACATTGAGCCCCTGGTACACGGTGGCAGATACGCACCTGGGGCAGCCTTGCCTACTTGACAACAATTTGACATGTCGACTGTGTGGCCCGATTGAATGAGAATCTGGAGGTGGGAAAGGAGGAAGACCCAGCCTTTGTCTTTCATACTCCTAACAAGAGGACATTTGGTAAGGGTTGCTACCAAGTCGGCCAGATGTGATTTGTTGCCCTCGGAGCAAGTTGTGGTTATTGTCCGATCCGACAGCCTTGTGTAGAGGGTGACAAAAGAGTTCCGGGCTGGCATCACCGGTTGACAGATGGTCTCTGCGTATGCTATCCCCCGAATACGATTGTGATGAATATTCTCAGCAGGGTGCCGAAAGGTCTATTCCTGATCCTGCGGCACTATCTGAACTCGTCGCAGTACATGTTTCTACTCGTACTTCAGCCAGCAAGTTACTGGCCTGAGCAATATACCTCAGAGTCCCAATGCCCGGTATCCGTCGCGACATGATCGGGTCCGAGCTTGGATCATGATCGCTCAATGTTGTTTCTTCCCGGGGTGTTATTAAACACTCTTCTCCTCCTTCAGACCATCTGCCGTTGGCTGGATTGGCTCGAAGTCCTTGTTTTCCTTCCTCTCCCATTGTGGCAGATGATATCCCGGCGGACAAGGCCCAACAAGCCAGTCAGTCCTCATTACTTCAGAGCTCCCAGTACCTTGGGAGGGCTGGAACTCCAACGCTAACTTCACCAGATCCAAGTCACCCAGCCCCCACATGCTGCCATCTACTTTCTGGTAGTAGTCCTTTTTGATGGCCTTGTCGAATGTCCTATCGGCGATGAAACCCCTGATTACGTTTTGATTCTTCCCGTGGCTGACGATCTCGTCGTAGTGACGAATTTTGCCAATCAAGTCTTTATTGCGAGCTTTCAGCGCCGTCTGCTGTTCTTCTGTGTACTTGCCGTAAGACTGCATTTGCATGTTCGCGACGACGAGCGAGCATTGGACCACGTACGATCCCCCTTGGCGACTGCGCAGATAAAGACCGTGTAGGACCCCGGCGGCGCCAGCATGGCCTGTCAGGTAGTCGGCGTTTGGACCGGGGAAGATGTGTGGCTCGTCGTATCCGTGGAATCGGCCAATGTCAAGACCAACACCGCAAACCTGGACGTCGGGGTTAGCAAGGAGGAAACAATCAAGGGAGCATTCTGACCAACAGTATCAGCAATCTGTGCCCAGCCTGGTCTTGTTACCCACGGGCCTTTCCAGCCGTAGCAATTTTCCTGGCAATAAATAAGGCCTCGATCTCGATTCGCCACCAAACCCAGCACGGCATCGCGGCCAAAGCCGAGGTGTTCCATTACGGCAGGACGATAGCCGTCAATGAAAACATCGGCCTCCTCGATTAGCTCGAGCAGCTTCTTTCTCCCCTCGAAGGTCTTGAGGTCGATGTCGACACTGGTCTTGCCGATACAACCGTCAATGAGCGTGATGGGCAGCTCCGTGTTCTTTACGCAGGACACGCGGATAACTGTCGCCCCCAAAGCTGCGCAGACACGGCCAATGGTGGGCGCGGCAATGGCGCGTGAAAGGTCCAAGACTTTGATTCCAGACAGCGGTCTACGGTCGGAGAGGTCGACAGGCACTTGGTCCCAGGACACGGCAGGTTGAGTATAATGCTTTTGTGGAATCAAGTTGTAGTATGGTTCATCTTTTATTGCTTTACCCTGTGAGCGGTCAGCGAGGTAGATCGTGAGAGCTTTTGTTCGAGCAGCATTACCTGAGGGGTGGATTCGAACTCTTCCTTTTCGAGACATACTGTGCCGGGAGTTCGGTAGACGTTGTTACTCCAGTTGTCGAGAACCTCTGAGTCAATAGTCCCGACGACGTTGCTGTACATTTCGATGATTTGTGGCCAGGTCAAGTTCTTCTCATTGTGCTGTGGAACGTTCAGCATCTCCAAGAGTGGCGTGGGATTCATGTTGCCGTGGAGAGAGTACCATCGTCCATCTTTCGACTTGTAGATGTTTGTGCCCAGCTGTCGATAAAGCTCTCGGGTCATACCGTGATCCCAGCGCTGGACAGCGGCCATCATTTTCGGACTGCCAGATAACCATTCGCTCTCATGGCGGACGAACAGAGCGCCGAGTCCATTGAGCAAGGCCTGCGAAACATCGATGTGACACTCTTGCTCAATTCCATATCGATCTTGAGCGATGGCAAGAGCCAAAAGTCCAATGTAGCCAAGGAGACCAGCTTGGGACTCTGCTGCTTTGAACGGAACAGGGAAGAAAGGATCCGTTTCATCCCCAGTAAATTGGACGTTGTCTTTCCATCGTTTCACTTCCTCTGGGAGGTTAAGACGAGGGTCTGCGACAATGACCTCGTAGATTCTTTGGGCTTCTGACTGAAGGGTGTAAGGAACTTCGTCCCGATGGTTCTGCCCCGCAATCATGGCTCTTGGTGAACGCCTCCGTAGTGCCTTCGGGTGGAATGGGGGCCAAGTGATAGGGACTTTGCCGTTTAGATCAATCCTCTCCTGGGGGTTTTAAGTCGAATTTCCATCCTTTGTATTGTAAGCGCTGAACCCTTTGAAAGTCGTTCATCTAGGATCTCCAGCGTCCTCGCGATGTTCTACGCGGTGGTGGCGGACGTCGCTGTGGTTCATGTCGGGCCCGGACTGCATGACGAGCGTCCACTGTATGGTCGACGCTTTCTTCACTGCCTTCGGACCATACAACATAGTTATGTCTCGGAAAGCTATTGCCTCAATACCGCGAATATCCTTTTATTACCGAAGGGAGGAGAAGATATGTTACGATCTGTCGATTCTCCGAAGATGTCTTGCTCGGAAAGCTTCAATTCACTTGGTAAAAGCCCAGAGTAGGTTGTGTATGCTCTCCGCCAGGCTTAAGGTGAGTTCAACATCGATTACATCCCAAATGACATCCCCCCTGATTGTCGGCCACAAGGCGGAGTGGTCCGACTCAGCAATTACGCTCAGGGAGATCATGGGACGACTCCGCCTCGTCTGGGTTTTTGCCACCCAGCTTCCTTCTAAAGCACATTGTAATCGTGCCGAAGACAGAGCCCGTAAGCCATAGCAGCATATTGATAATGTTATATGCAGCGGCGGCTTCAATATGGGTGGAATGGCTCTCAAAATACCTGCCGCCAAACGATGCAATCACCCCCACCCAGGCAAAAGTGAGCACCCATTGCCAGAACAGAACCCATAGCAGCCAGAGCCGACTGGGAAATGGGAAGAGGATGTCGATCGTGAACAACAACGCTGTCAGCGCAGATAGAGAGGCGATGGCGATGGCGTAGACCTGCAGGTACAGGTGTGTGTCAGGAAGATCAGGTATCAAAGGTTCATCCCCGGGAAACCCACCGAAACACCCGTATTTGTGGGGCCATTGGCTATGTCTGAAGCATTGAGAGCAATGGCAGTTACAGCAAATGTGAATTGTAGAATAACTTGAGCAATGTGGACAACGCGGCTTGTTGGGGCAGCCTTCCAGGGAAGCCCGACCTTGAACATGTTGTGCCAACGCGATAGCATGGATATAGTCCGTGCTTGAAAAGAGATGTAACTGTTAGTGCTCAATGAATTTGAGCAAAGGAGAGTCTTTGAACACTGTCTAGCTTATAACATTGTAGGGACTCAGGCAGCAAGAATTCTCGAACCAAGACCCAATGCGTATTCGTATTCGACTAATTTCCCTTTTGGGGAGGTAAGGTGGAGACGATCGAGGATCGCGCGAAAGCATTTAATACTCCACAGAACTGTAGCGTGTCAAGCCGTCTACTCCGACGTAGCGCGAACCCCAATACTTTGTAGAAAAAAAATTATCCCCGCAGCAGGAAATATTGGCGCAGTTGAAGGATAAGAGGTGTGCACGCCTACCACCGACATTCCTCTCACCAGGTACGTTGTTACCGCCGGGTTATGGCTTTGATGCGCAATGGCAGGATACGTCAAACCAATTCCTTCGGCCACCGGCGGCCTGGCCTTTTCCCGACTCCAGTCCGACGAGATCAGAAAGATCTCCGTCAAGCGAATCCATGTCACTCCAGCGCTGGATTCTATGTTTGGTCCAGTTCCAGGAGGTCTGCATGACCCTGCCCTGGGTGCTATCCAGGCTCTGGATGCAAAGTAAGTCCTCGAACGCTGCGCTAGCTTCGGTGCTAACATCTTCAGCTGCTCTACTTGTCGCATGAATGCGATCCACTGTACCGGGCACTGCGGACATATTGAACTTCCTGTCACTTGCTATCATCCACAATACATTGACTCTACTCTACGCCTTCTCCGTGCGAAATGTGCCTACTGTCATCGCTTCAAAGCTGCAGAGAACTTTGTCAATCAAACGGTGTGCTCCCTCCGGCTGTTGCAATATGGATTGGTGGAGGAGTACCACAATATACAGAATATTCACCTCAGAGGAGGACTGCCAAGGACACCAAGGAGGAGTGGCCCAGATCAGATGGTTGAAGATGTGGCGGAAATCGAACCGGAGGAAGAGATTGCGGAGCTTATTGACCGGAGAACGAGAATGACAACGCGTGCCATCAAATTGGCGCGAAGAGAGAAACGGATTGATGACCAGGCTCTCGTCCGAAACACTATCGCGATCGCTGCCCGAAAGCATGTAATCGCCTCTTTCCTTAAGGAGATCCCTAATCTGAAGAAGTGCGCCAACTGCGGTGGTGCCAACATCTCCTATAGAAAAGATAGGAGCGTCAAGATCTTCAGACAGCCGCTAGCAAGGAAGCAAAGGGAAGCCATGTATGTCCTTGGGAAAAAGGCGCCAAACCCTCTGCTGTTTCTCCACTCCGAACAGACTCAGAGAGATGAGGTCAAAAAGACCGCCATGGTCAACGGACATCATGACGAGGATATCGAGATGTCCGACCAAGACGACGTTGAGGATGCAGAACTACATGGAGCTGAAGAAGAAATCGCTATGCGTAATGCACTCGAGACGTCATCCAAGTCGAAGAAAGCGGACATCGAGAATGAGGACGACGTACAAGCATACATGACAACGAGCGAGGTACATGCTGCCTTGACCCTACTATTTGACCGGGAGCAGGAAGTCCTCCAGCTGCTGTATGCATCTCAGCCCGGTCGAAAAACGGTTCGCGTATCTCCGGACATGTTTTTTGTCACCGCGATTCTGGTTCCGCCCAACAGATTTCGACCTTTGGCTAGGCATGGACCTAATCAAATGCTGGAGAATCAACTAAACACGGTTCTGAACAAAATCATCAAGGCGGCTGGTGATGTTCAGCGCATCTCACGGGAGTCGAAAAGAGCAAAGATTGACCCAACTGTTAGACCAAGGAACTTGAACGAGAGCTTGCAAGCCGCAATTGTCCTTCAAGAGGCAGTAAATGCGCTGATAGATTCCCCTACACCTGCTTCAGGCCGGCCAACCGACCAAGGCATAAAGCAAGTTCTGGAGAAGAAGGAGGGCCTTTTCCGAATGCACATGATGGGGAAGCGTGTCAACTTCGCTGCTCGCAGTGTCATATCGCCCGATCCGAACATCGAAACCAACGAAATCGGTGTACCTCTTGTTTTCGCAAAGAAATTGACCTACCCCGAACCAGTGACGAGTCACAATTTCGAAGAGCTTAGCAAGGCGGTGATAAATGGTACCGAAAAATACCCTGGGGCCGCAGCTATTGAGAATGAGAACGGGATGGTTCTCAGCTTGAAGCGCAAGACCATTGAACAAAGAAGAGCCCTCGCAAAGCAATTGATGACTTCGACCGCCCCCGGAGCAAAGGGGGAGAATGGCAAAAAGGTGTACCGGCACCTTCAAACAGGCGACGTGGTTATCATGAATCGTCAGCCAACTCTGCACAAGCCCTCCATGATGGGTCACCGTGCACGCGTGCTAACAAACCAAAAGACCATTCGCATGCATTATGCGAACTGTAACACTTACAACGCCGACTTCGACGGTGATGAGATGAACATGCATTTTCCTCAGAATGAGCTCGCTCGAACCGAAGCCCTTCAGATCGCGGACACGGATCACCAGTATCTGTCTGCAACTGCAGGCAAACCCTTACGTGGGTTGATTCAAGACCATATATCTATGGGTGTTCAATTTACCAGCCGGGACGTTTTCTTCGATCGAGACCAATATCAACAGTTACTTTATAGCTGTCTCAGGCCGGAAGATTACAATACCGTGTTTGACAAGATCCAAATGGTAGCGCCGGCGGTTTTAAAGCCGAAAATGCTATGGACCGGCAAGCAAGTGATCACGACAGTATTGAAAAATATCACTCCTGAAAGATTCCGTGGCATCAACCTTACGAGCAAATCATCCACATCGTCAGACTCGTGGGGCGAGAAGACGTCTGAGGAACCTGAGCAATGGACTGTTAGCAGGAACATGGTGGTATTCAGAGACACGGAACAAGTGGTGATTTTCAAAGACGGCGAGCACCTTTGCGGAATTCTTGACAAGAGTCAACTCGGTCCCAGCGCTGGTGGTCTGATCCATTCCGTACACGAGGTCTATGGACATATCACTGCGGGCAAACTAATGAGCATCCTCGGCCGACTTCTCACAAGATTCCTCAATGAGAGGGCCTGGACTTGTGGAATGGACGATCTCTATCTGACACCTGAAGGCGACAAGGAACGGCGACAAGAATTGAACAAGGCGAAACAAATGGGTTTGGAGGTTTCGGCCGAGTATGTGACATTGAAGTCTGGCGAGGTCGACCAAGAAAACCCCGAACTGCTTAGTCGCCTTGAAAGCGTACTTCGTAACGATGAGCAGCTCAATGGTTTGGACCAGGTTTACAAGGCCAAAGTGAAATCGATCACGGACGCTGTCTCAAAAGCCTGCCTGCCTGCTGGGCTTCGAAAGTCATTCCCTCGAAATCAGATGCAAGCAATGACGATCTCTGGAGCCAAAGGTTCTAGTGTCAATGCAAATCTCATCTCTTGCAATCTAGGTCAGCAGGTTCTGGAAGGGCGCAGAGTTCCTGTGATGGTCAGTGGCAAGACACTGCCGTCCTTCCGAGCCTTTGAGACGGAGCCAGCTGCTGGTGGGTATGTGTCAGGACGATTCTTAACGGGCATTAAACCACAAGAATACTACTTCCACGCCATGTCTGGCAGAGAGGGCTTGATTGATACCGCTGTGAAAACGTCCAAATCCGGGTATCTGCAGCGCTGCATCGTCAAAGGGCTTGAAGGTCTTCGAACCGAGTACGACACGTCGGTGCGAGAGAGTTCAAACGGAAGTATCATTCAGTTCTTGTATGGAGAAGATGGACTCGAAGTCACCAAGCAGAAGCATCTGAAAGAATTTACTTTCCTTGCTGAAAATCACCACTCGGTTGCCACACTTATGAATGCAGAAGAGGTGATTCACAAACTGCCGCTCTCAGAGTTGGTTGAGGAACAGAAGAAGATTCTGA